TTTTTCCGATGCCGGCGCCTAGTCTGCTGGCAGGGATGCGAACCTGGGCTCCAATTTCCTTGGCATTGAAATGATTGGCCGGCTCCCTTGTGGAACAACCCAACACCAACACAAGAGGGCAGTCTCCGCCTTGCCTAGCTTGAAGGAACCAGACGTCCATCAACCCCCAAGTAAACTATCCTATCACACCTCTATATTGTTATATCACTCGTCCCCGAAACTTATCCGCTATGAATGCATTACCGACGGGGCACGAAGGATCAAGTCTGAGCGGGGATTCGCGCCAGCGAGGTACGTCGCATGTCGGTGCTCAGTATAACACGACCAATGCCAACGTTGGGAATGCGTCGAATAGCTATAATAGCACTACCATCAACGTTGGGGTAAGTGAAGAGTCTCTGCGGATCCAGTCATGGTTGTCGCCACTTGAGCCCTATAGAAGGCATCAAGATGTGGGAAACCGGCGGTTTGAGGGTGTTGGTGATTGGGTTCTTAGGAGGAACGAGTTCGAGTCATGGCATGAGAGTGGGGGCGGCTCAGTGAACCGTACTTTGCTATGCTATGGCGGCCAAGGGGTTGGAAAGACCTACATAAGGTGGGGGGGTATTCTCCAGAAATCGTAGGCGATGCTAACAAATACTAAAATCAGTTCACTGGTAATAGATACTCTGTGCAAGCAAGCCCGGGGGCAGAATGTCGCGGTTTTATCTCTCTATTGCGATTACCAGGCGCGGAAGGACCAATCTGCAGTAAACCTGATAGGGGGTCTGCTCAAGCAGTTTGCTTTGGGAGCAACGAGGATTCCTGGCGAAATTCAGAGCGCTTTTGAGGAGTCTAAGTATGGAAGCCAAAGTCTCCGATTGCCGGATATGGTGGAATTATTCGTCAAGGTGATCAGTTCCATTGAACGAGGATACATCTGCGTCGACGCAGTAGACGAGTTGCTACCGGATGATCGATCAGAGTTTCTTCGCACATTGCAACAGATCATCCAGGATGCACCAAATACACGGCTATTTCTTACAGGGAGGCCGCATATTTGCGGAGAGCTTGATAAGCATCTTACGAATGGAGCCTACGCTATATGCATTGTGGCCGACCAAGGAGATATCGCTAGATACCTAAGCCGGAAGATGGACGATGACGACAACAGGGACCCGGGGCTGATGACAGAAAATTTGAAAAATGATATCTTGAAAACAATCTTGGAAAAGGCTTCAGATATGTAAGAGCAACTCTATTACGGATTTGGATTACCAGCTAATATTCCGCTAAGGTTCCTACTTGTTTCCTTAAGTATTGATGCGATCTTAGGTGAGACCTCGATAGCGAGGAGAAAGAAAATGTTGGAAAGGGTGGCGATGACGGGAGTAGACTTGGACAGTGTGTATACTCAAACACTACGGCGAATAAGGGGACAGAATGGTGGCCGGTCAAGGCTTGGGGTGGAGGTGCTAATGTGGGTATCCCACTCTAAGCGGCCGTTGCGGATTAGCGAACTCTGCCATGCTCTGGCGGTAGAAATGCGGTCGACGTATCTTGACCCCGAGAACGTCCCGCCACAAGACACAGTCCTAGGGTCATGCCTGGGGCTTACTGTGGTTGATAAAGAGACATCAACAGTCCGACTAATCCACTACACTCTTCAGGAGTATCTTTCCGGGTCTGAAATCCTACCCGATGCCCACAAGGCGCTTGCGCAGACATGCCTGACGTATCTAAATTATGAGCAAGTTAAGGGGCTTCCGGCCAATAGCGTTCCTAACCTTCGAGACATGCCCTTTCTAGAATATGCTTCTTGCTATTGGGGCAGCCACGCAAAAATGGGACTCTCAGATGACGCAAAATCGCTTGCACTGGAGCTGTTAAACCGGTATGATAACCATATATCTGCTACCTTACTTTTCGAGCAAGTAGAGAGGCGCTATTCTCTCCTATTTGCCCGTTACCTATTTACCGGTTTGCACTGTGCATGCTACTTCGGGATTGTTGAGATCGTGGCCAATTTGATAGAGATGGAAGGCTGCGATATAAATCAAGGAGATTGCATAGGGCTCACGCCCCTCATGTGGGCTGCTCGGCGGGGGAGTGAAGGGGTGGTGAGACTTCTGCTCACACGAGGCGATGTCGAGCCAGACAAGCCAGACAACTATGGTGCAACGCCACTCTGGTGGGCTACCTGCAATGGGCATAAGGGGGTTGCGAGACTCCTGCGCACAAGGAACGATGACAACCCTGGAAAGCCAGACGATGCCGTAAGAACTTGAATAATTGAACCCATTGGTAAGACGGTCCGAATTTCCCTTTGGATATCGGGGCAGGATCACCTCAAGAAAAGCTAACTTTTAGTCCCCCTCTAGGGTAAATAGGAAGAAAAAACAAATAGACGTTGCTAGGGGGGTAACGCCAACGTCCTAGTGTGAGGTCCGATTATCCTAGCGCTCACGGCTATCGACCCCTGCTCAGCTCGGCTTCTGGGAGTGGCGGTGGGATTGCTGATCGTGTGTGGCGACATCAACGACAACGAGCCGGACGACCATAGTCGGACACCTCTCATCTGGGATCCTGTTTGCGGGCACGAGGCGGCGACGAAGCTACTACGTACGCAGAGCGATGCGAATCCCGACAAGCCAGACAGTGGGGGTCTAAACTTGCTCAGATAGGCATCGGAGGATGAGCACGACGGTATGGTGAGAGTGCTGCTCACACGTGGCGATGTCCGCCCTGGAAAGCCGGCCAGATTTAATCAGAAACCCCTCGCGATCGCCCCTATACATAACTGTCGGGGGATTGTGGGACTCCTCCGGCCTCGGAGACCCGTGACCTCTGGCATGAATTGGGCTCGGGAAGAGGCTTGCCTACAGTTCCCCTCCGCAACACGCGTGTTTGCACCGCTTTCGTAGCGGCTCCACATATAACCGCTATCGATGGAGCTCCCGTCGTGAACATTCTCCCCGTTCCTTTCCATTCTGCCTTCCTAAAGCCCGACCGCCGAAATCATCTTGGGAATGGATGGACTTGTTGCAGGAAAATACTTTATTGTGTATTATATAGGCGTTTTTTTGCTTTCGGGTCATTTCCTTGTAGAGTTTTATAGACAGGAGTGTTTTTATTGTAACTACTAAATTATGGAGATACTCGGGACCACGCCCCCACAATTTACCGCCTCGAAACCGTTTGTTTTCCTACCCACATAGAGCCCGCGCCCTTGCATCATACTTTATCTTTCTTTCTTCTATATCTTGCTGTGGTTCTAACTGCTCTTACCTACCACCGCTAGCAGAGGCTAACTCCAGAGGATAAACAGGAAGAGAAAACGGTAGGGAGGATATGCCAATACTGAGTATTTCCGAGCTAGGCTTACTTCCCATACTGAGCCAGACCCGCCGTTATGTCCGCTGCACTCAGAGAGATATTGTAGAAACAGACAAGTTTTTATTTTTTATACCTTTTTCTCTCCCCCAATCTGTGGAATATATCATGGAAAAATGTATCATAAATGACAAGACACCCGGAGAGACCAGCAGAACCGATCTTGTAAAATACATGAAAAAAGATAGCTGGCAATCCATCCGTTCCGAACGTGAACTATTCCGGATATGGGAGTGTAAGAGATTGAAACATCGTTGACTGTATGATATCACGCTTCAGGCCTATTCACACGGTTTGATGTATTCTTCTGCGATGGGCCCTAGCATCTGCCTTTGGGACTCTAGCCTTTTTTAATAAATAAATAAAACAGAATAAATAGCTGAATCCCGGTTCGTCTTCTCAATAGTATCAGTTTTTCGCCCCCCCCCCCCTCCACGCTTCCCAAACCCCGAAAACTAGAGGATCCGTCTTCACAATCACACCCAGCGGTACTGTACCCGGGGGCGATAATGTCCAAATCTGTCCACCAGCACTCGCACGATTTCCGCTTTTTACAAGTTTTTTGTCCCCCTCTCCCTTTCAGCTTCTACCGATAGGGCACGTTACCATATTTTCGGCAACCGATACCGCATTGCAAATACCAGCTGTGGGGAGGGACGGAGCATAGGATAACGGAAATCCGAAGTCAGGTACTCTACCAGCGTCTTTGAGCATGGCCGTTACGACCAGGGCTATCCACCATATTCCCCCCAGCGATGCCGGCGATTCATTACGTGTCTAAGGCCGGAATGAGGGCGTTCTCACCACAGCACTTCCCCGAGCAGCATTCCTCTGTATGTCTGCCGATTGTGGCCGGTATAGCCACGAAAAATCATTTATGGAATGGGTCGGCGGCAGGGTGTGCAGTACAGTACCAGAAGCATTCCCATCCGGTGAGAGGTATAGACAGAGGAAGCGCCGTGGAGCGCAAAACAATTGGGGATAGGACCGGTGTTCGTAAGCAGTTCTTCGTCGAAACTGCAGATATCATAGCTATGGGTTTCCGAGTGATGAACCATGATTGTTCCAATTTTCGGGAGGTTTTTTTTTTCAAGGCATCTATATGCGATGTCATATTCACCACCATCGCTTATAGGAGACGGAAGTTGTAGGGATCCTGGGCGCAAACAACATCTTAGCATGGATCAGGAGCGCAAGCTTATATTCTCGCCCAAATCGCTGTGTCCAATCGGATAATCAGGGTGAAGGAAAAAAAAGAAAGAAAGAAAGAAACGGTCCGCGACGTGGAAAAGTAAAGCATAGGGAAATCCGAGTTTCGCGATGATACCAAACCTCAACGCTTTGGAGCCCGCCGGAATGTATGCTATCCTCTCTTCGTGCGCTACGGGCCTACGACACCAGCCCGGGAAGGCCTCAGATATTGCATCGCATTGGTAGATATTTTGCGAGTGTCCGCATTTGTCTGGGGGTATTTGGAGATGCTTGTGGGCGTCTTTGTGTATTCTGCTGCCCGTTGACAGTATTTTTGCTCACGGCACGGCACAGGCCAACACCCATTGGCGCCCCTAGACACAGCCTGATATGCTCTATTCACTCAGGGCTGCCTATATCTTCTACTTTTGGGCGGCAAAAGCCCATAGGTAATCTCATGGAATGTATGGGTGCAGAGTAGTGATAACAGTAAATCTCTTATAGTCCCGGATCCCCGTCTTATACTGCGGGTATCCCGATGGGGGAGGGCACTATCCACTACTATAATAGGAGAAAGCAGCGGCACCGGAACCTCGGGAAGCTACATTATCCAAGCAGCAAGGAACCCAACCCCTATACATACCCTCATCATCAAACTCCCTCCTACAGCAAATCATCCACTCCCGCTTCACACACCACACACCCACACAAGAACCCATACTCCCCCATCAAAGCCAACCTCCTATTCCCAGTCCCCATCCTCCAATCCGGTCTATAGCAATGGGTAATCTCCTCCCCTTCCTACCATAGTAGCACTCCCACATCAGCAACCCCCCTCCATCGCAACAACCCTAGAAAGAAATAAAGAAGGGAAAATATCATAAGAACAAACAAACAAACCTCCACCCTCTTCCCACTCCAAAATTCAATCCTCCCTTTACCCCCCTCCCACCTCCAGTACGCATTCTCACCCCCATCGCAAGAGTGATTGATCCTGCTAGCGTGGGCGAAAACCGCGTTCTCGAGTCCGTCCGTGGTAAGCATGAAGTTGTTGCACTTCCACGCACCCTCAACTCCCGCTTCCGCACCACCGGCGAGGGAGAGGAAGAGGGTCTGGGAATGTGCGGGGAGCGCGGTGAACGCCGCGGATACCTGCTCGGCCTTGTCGATTCCGGAGGAAGGGGAGTGGAGGACCTTCAGTAGGGGTGACTCCGAGAATAGTAGGGTGTTGGCGGGTATCGTGCTCGTGGCGATTGCACCCAGGCCCTTTTCCCCTAGCCCTGTGATTTTGAAGTATGGACTTGGAGACGGTGGGGGGGTGGGGGTTATTGCCATGGGAGGATTCTCTCTGGTTGATGGGACCGGTGAATGAAGATGGGATGATTTTTTTGTTTTTGTTTTTATTTTATCATACCGGCACCCCCCCTTCCACCTTATCGTTTATGCTTATCGGGTATGATACATACAAAGCTCAGGGTTCAGGCACGCATACCTACCTGAACATGGACTAGTGGACATCTATCCGAAGTCACAGATATCACTCGAAACCATGGCCAAACTCTCTGTTGGAACAACCTTCCATATGTGGTAACGGGTATCTCATGTATCAGGAGAGTGAGCGAGTAAGGACGTCACGACCCGAATGGGAAGTATGAACTAGTATAGACATCATTGTGGGACAAACTGTGACTGCTTGTACTACTATAAGTACGAGCCAAGTCCTCCTCATAGTTAATAGAAGCAGTGAATCGAACAATCCCCAGTGAGTTGCTACAACAGGTTATGAGCCCGGAATAGCGCAAACTGGGTGAGAAAGATATCTCAAAGACCTCATTCACTGAACATTCTCAATCCGTCTAAACACCTTGAATCTCCCCTCTTTCTACCACGATCCCTATTCTATTCAATCTCATAATGCAAGCCATAGCATCAAAGGACTTCCTCTCTGCACAGACTGAGGGCACCTATAGAACGAAATATGGTGATACACCGAAGCTCAGTAGCTTTAACTATCGTCAGTGGGCACGCAATATTCAGATCTTTCTACGCTCGGAGAATGCACTCGCTATTGCACTAGGAGAAGAAGAAT